GGTCGGTCGGTCGGTCGGTCGGTCGGTCGGTCGCCTTTCTGAAACAGGAGATTTGAATCACCATGTTGAGATATTATGCACATACGTTAAAATGAAAAACTGTCATTTCTTTTATGGTTACTGTTAACCTATTCCCACTACCTCACTTCCTAGCTCAAGCACCCACTGGCAAACTAATCTGCGATTTTATTTATTTCAGAGCCTCAGAGTTCCATCATCCCAGCATTTTCAGCTGTATGATTTCAAGTTCGACGATATCCACATGGATGATGATGATACTTTGAAGGTAAACCAGTTTTTCTAAAGGCAGGTGAAGTGTATAATTTAAGAAAACCCTGATACCTGTAACATAATAGCAATTTTCTATACATTTAATATTATTATATACGGTCATAATCACTGGGAAGATGGCAGACCAGTATTTAGCAGGTAATGAAACTATGAAATATGAGGGCTTTTCATGAAGTAACATCTGGTGAGCTGTTAATAAAACAAGCAATGAGGAAAAAGAAGTTTTATATAAAAAAAATACGCACATACATAATCTACTTCACAATATAGTCACTATCAGAAATGAAGTACTTGTCATATTGGGGAATAAGTTTTTGTATGCCCGTGTCAAAGCAGTCTTCCCAACTACTCATTTTTGTTGAAGAGCTGTGATTGCAACCAGTTATTCAGGTATGTAAACAGATGGTAGTCACAGGAGCAAGATAACAGCTCTGTAATGAGGGTGGTCAGGTCACGGGAAACAACTTCCAGTCGAAATGCACCAGCAGTGCTCAAATGCGAGCAGCCGTATGTGGACGTGCACCGTCATGGAGGAGTGCTACACACCTTTGGTTCTGAATGGCCCTATGCACTTTTTTTGGTGCTTCTCAATACACTTTTGACGTTATTGTGGTCTTTTGTTGCATGGTGAATGAAATTTAGGTGAAGTGCAAAGTTTAATTTCAGGCTAAAGAAACACATTAAGGCACAATTTGAGTGCATTTTAATTTGTGCATCTGTGTGATAGGGTATGTAACTTACCTGTACAGGTTTGCCAAAGGGGTAAGTTACTGTCACAGATAGTAAAATTAAATGTCCATTACAGCAGTTAACTCTCATCTGACAGGTCTGGTTTATTATGTGCCATTGTTGATCCTGCCAAGGGGCAAATTGTTGTCATTGTCTATGTAAATGTTATTATCATTTGCAAATGTCACTCAAATCCAAGGAAACTTTAAGTGTAGCTTGTTGAATCATAAAAGAGTCAAAGTGTGTAGCGATTATTAATTGTTCATTATATTAACGGCTGGAGAATAGGCACTGCAAGAGGAGTAGCCGGAGAAAAAGAAGACGTTGCAAGAACAGCCTTCAAAGAAAAGGAACGGGGATCGGGGATGCACCGTTAAGCTGTTCAGGATGAACTGCCTTAAGGAGGGAGCAGTGTGATGTATTTGCGCTATGCAGGACACTCCCTCCCCTGACAGTGGTGATGTAACCGCATCATAGCGCTGTTGCTGCTACAGTAACAGGCCAGTCAACACACTGCCCCCCCTCCCCTGCCGTGACATAACAGCACTTCCCACTGTGACGTAACAGGGGACATTGCTGGTAACACGAGGCAACAGGGTACCGTATAAAAAGCCGGCTGAGCAGTAGGTGACCAGTGAGTGTGTGATCAGGAGTGACACGGTGTGGATCGTGAAGTAACCATTCAATTTCAATCTAGCAATCGCTGAGGCGGGTTGTATCGAGTGCATGGCAGTGACTCCAGCAGGAGAAGTAATTGTGAAACTGCAGATGGCAGTAATGATGAAACTGTGAGTTATGTAATTGTAAAAGCGAATGTGAAATAAATTTGCTATATCCAATACGGCATGAAGTTATTTCTTTTCCATTTCACTTGCCATAAGTTCAAAATCCAGTTTTTATGTAGAAATTTCAGGCCCAGGAGATAAATTCTCAGCACGGGAGCGTGACAGAAAAGTGTTAATTTATTAATACGTTGTATATGAAGAGAATAAATTAACTGAATTACTGTGTTGATGTAGCAAATATGCAGCAAATTGACAGATTATTTTACAGACTTGAATATATGAACAAAGATAAATTGGGATACAGATGTGCTGAAACTTTGATCACATTTGGGTCATATTTTTTTTCATTCTAGGCTTGCATACGAATGTTTCTAGATCTAGACTTCATAGAGAGGTTCCATATTGACTATGAAGTCCTGTGTAGATGGCTTCTTAGTGTGAAGAAGAACTACCGCAATGTAACGTACCACAACTGGAGGCATGCCTTCAATGTGGCTCAGATGATGTTTTCCATTATCACCGTAAGTACAAGGGATTTATATGATTATAGACGGTTGGAATCTGGTATCAGTGTGATATAAATGCAATTAAATCTACTCAGGTGATCACCCTTATCAGTGTGGAGTGAATTTTCATTTCGGAGACTGCTTGCATCATCAGGGACTGAAGAGCTCTTCATTACTGAGCATGTAGAGCATGGTTTTCTTGTCCAGGAGTGAACCTGCAAAAGATACAGGATTCACTATAAATTGATCCTAGAATCCAGTTTCTGCATGCTCCATGACAAGGAGATAGTCTGCATGAGCTGACAGTATATACAGTGAAGAGCAGTGTTATGTCAGTCTCTGATAACGGATGGAGGAACAGTTTCTGAAACAATGGAATGTCATTCCATACTGACATGGCTGGTCACCTGAGAATACATTATTGGATTTAGTTAGTTAGTTAGTTATTAGAGAGGGTGGGTTTCCCCATGCACTTAGACCTGTAGTGGTCCATTTTGCTTCCCTCTATGATTTCTACCAGCCTCTATATCCTACCGGTATTGGTGCTTACCATCAGTCCTGCCCAGCCAGCGAGACCAGCTCTACTGGCTGAGAAGTATCTATAATGCTTCCCCCATCTACCGGAGGTATTAGTGACTACTGTTGGGCGGGAAACGTCCGCAATTTTGCTCAGTGACCTCCTTTGGAGATATGAGGTTCTTTTACGTGCCATAAAGCTACGACACGGGACCCACGGCTTAAAGTCCCTCCCGGAGGACTTGTTCCCTGAATTTTCCCGCCCTTAAAAATTCGACGACCTCCGCAGGGTGTTTGAACCTGCGTACTACGAGTCATGAGGTGGGAACGTTACCTCTAGACTATGGAGGCCGCTCATTATTGGATTTACTTAGTTGTCTTCATTATATGACTGTTTACTTGAGTACATAAAGTATTCACTTTTTCCACAACACGTTAGATACATATGTAATATGTAATGAACTGTGCATCATGTATTTCAACATATTTACTACTGTGCAGATTAAAATGTGAACATACCCTCTGTATCAAGTGCTTTAACTGTCTGCAAAAATTGAAATTATTTTTCTTTAAATCTATTTTAGGCAAGTCAGTATATCATGCCCCTTTTGCTTCTCTTAAATTATTATTATAAATAGTAAATTTCTGGTCATTTTCAGATAAAGATTGGTAGATCAGTTTTTCCTTCATCTCTGAGAATGTGTTTGCATTCTGCAGCCACGTAATGCAGAACGTGACAGTGAAATATGTATAAACATCATGCAACATAGTTAGAGATGGTTCTCACATGTACAACATATTTGGCAGGAAATGTCTGTTCTATGGACAGTAATGTATACATATACATTCTGTGAGATACCATAATGACCAGATCAAGTTGCTCGTTTTCGTTGCTGACCCCCCCCCTTGCAGTCTCTTGTAAGTAGTAATGGTAAAGAAAATATTAACTTGATTTCACCCACTGCACACTGGAGACAACTTTTCTTTTGATTTATAACGTTCAAAGTCTTAATGTTGACAATATTCTAGACTGGTAACTCAGTACACAATTTTAATTATTGACTCTCATTTTAGGTTACTCAGTGGTGGAAAATATTTGGTGAGATTGAGTGTCTGGCTCTGGTAATTGCATGCCTTTGCCATGATCTGGATCATCGTGGAACCAATAACTCTTTCCAAATAAAGTAAGTTCTACATACAAGTACACAGTATTCACAAAAATTGTTAAAGTGACATAATAGAGTGGCTTGTTGTATAAATGTAATTGGCTATTAAAAGACAGATTGGATCCATCATCTAGTGTTTATTTTTTAAGTTTACAGGAAGAAGTTAAGTCGAAAGAGAAAGTGTTTATTGAGGTAAAGCTTCTGAAAAACACCTTACTCAGGTTGGAACTACCATCTTATGGCTGTCTCTTTGCTTGTTGCTGATGTTTGAGATTGTTCAATCTCTTCACCACACATATTTACCTCAAGGTGTAATCTCCTTCCCCCTCAGCTTTGCATTACTCTTGCTGCTAATAATTTCAGTTTATTAGTTTATCCCCATGTATGTTATGGTCAGTGTTTTGGCTGGGCAGGTTAGTGTAATGGTAGTACTTTTGGACTTTTATTTAGGACGTGAGTCACGGTTATGATATTGGTTATCTTGACCGAAGTTTCTTTTGTGATACTTTGTAGTCTCCTCAGGCAAACAGCAGAGTCCCATCTTGTCTCATTCAATACTATATTTCTGTAGTTAGTTATTTCTCTGGGACACAGGGCAGCTTCTTCAGAATTTAGTATTGTTTTCTAATTATAATTTGTATGAAGATTGTGGTCTAACAGAATATGATGCCATGTTTTGTGGTAGGAAGGTATGAACATTTTGGAGTAATGTGAAATTCTCTTCCACTCTCAAGGTGGATGCAGCACATCCCTCCAAAATGTTGTAATCTACAAGACCTTAATCTTTATATTCACCACCTTGGGAACTTCAAGCCACACATAATTTTGTATGCCTGCCAGGTTACCTTTTCTGAGTGTTATGAGAATATGTTTAGTAGTTTCCAGTGGAACTCATATTTTGACATATGTGACAATTTCTGATGCAAGCCATATTGGTATGTTTGCGGTGCAGGTGTACATACTCATGTATTGTAGTACTTGTAGTTTCATAATAAAGAATATGTAAAATTGCTCGTAAGAGAAATTTATTAAATGGTAAATGATTGTGTCACTAATATCTAGAATGTTTGCATAAATGATTTATTTGGTAAATACGAGGAAGAGTCAGTAAATAGGTCACAAATTGGTATAAAATGTAAAACATATGATATTTGAACCTGGAAAAAAAAACACTGTTGACATTTCCTCCACCAACACTGATACACTTGTCCCATCACTTTACCAGTATGTTGAAACCCACAGCACAGAAGTCATCTGACTGTTGTTTCAGACACTTCTGTACTTCCATTTCAACCTCTTTGTCATTAGTGGAACGTTTGACACCCAGGTGGTTATTTAGCGGACCAAACAGATGGAAGTCACTAGGGGCCGAGCCTTGTCTGTAAGGCGGATGTTCAGGAAGTTCCCATCTTGCCAGTTGGCATGGATGTTTTCTATGAATTGCATCCAAAACCTTCTATAGATCTTCACAATATGATGCAGAATTCACATTTTCACCATGATTTTAAAAATGGGTTAACAGTACTACTTGGGAATCCCAAAACATGGTAGGCGTAACCTTCCTAGATGATGACACACTTGTAACCTTAAACTTTTTGGTTGAAGGTGAACTGGGATGTTTCAATTGTATTGAAGTACGCATTGATTCAGGCTGCTGATGATGCACCCATGATTCGTCCCCAGTAACCATCCTATTAAGCATACGAATATCTTCTTCTTCAGCTGCATACTGTAAGAAATATTGTAAGGACATACCCATTCAGCATTTGTTCTTGATCCTTAAGTCCTTGGGGCAACAGTCATATGCACCCTTTTCAAAACTTCAAATGATCATGCATTATGTTGTATGCTAAACCATAGGAATACCCTAGTCTGGTTGCTACACTATCGTTATCCTCCTATCAGCTCAAATCAACTCTTCCACTTGCTGCACAGTTCCTACTATCACAGTCTTAACAGGGAAACCAGGCCAGGTATCATGTCTTTGACTTTTGAACATCCTTAAGAGAATTTCTCAACCCAGTTGTGAACTGCTTTGTGCGGCAAACACTTCCCACCGTAAATGGGAAACATTTCTTTATGAATGTCCTTTGCATTTAGTCTTTTTACCCATAAAGAATATGCACAACAGAACGCTGCTCTTTGGTAGTACATATTCAAGCACGATCACATATTGACTACTGAAACCAGCCTCTGAAACTGCCCATGTGCGTCTAATGCCTAGACTATCTTGAAGCTGGGCTGTGCTCCGTTTTAATGATACACATAGAAAACCTGTTATGTCCCTTACATCTGTTTTACTTATATTTGTGACCTATTTACTGACTCTTCCTTCTGTATATAAATCATAAGAATGTTTGGAAGTTGGAGTTTCTTAATTTTGATGTGTGTTCACCGATTTGTTAGTAACAGCAGTTAATTTGAATGGGCAGCACAATAGCAAAAAATGAGCATTGTGACAATAATGTTGCTTGCAGGGCTTCCTCACCACTAGCTCGACTCTACTCCACCTCTACAATGGAGCACCATCATTTTGACCAGTGCATCATGATTCTTAACAGCCAGGTAAATTTCCATTGTTTCACTTGATTGTGTGTGTGTGTGTATGAGGGTGTCATAACTATAATTACCAGTATTGTTAGAATTGGATAATGAACTAAAGTGAAAGAGATTATCAGGAGTTATAGAGGGGAGTAGTAGTGGAGATAATTAACAAGAGCAGATAATCAAAACATCAGGAAGTATGCATTTTCCATGATACATGCATCATGAAAATGATGTAGTTATTACTTATTGTTCATTAAACAATGAGACAGATATCTTTACAATAGAAAAAGCAACCTGTGTTCAATAGATCTGGACAAAAATCAGTAAAATAATAATGTAGAAATTTACAACAGATTGAGGAGATATGCAGTCTGTTATAAATCGTCACTGATACAATTTACTGAAACAGATGTAATGGGCAACACCTATATCATTACAAGTTCTATATGTCTGGCAGTTGATCTGCACAGCAGATAATAAGATAATGGTCAGTATAACTATAAAACCGAAATCATTTATACATAGGATAAGTGTTGTGCTAAGCACAAGTTCTTTCACTGCATTAAAACACATGTTATGTAGAAATGTTGCTGATTGTTTTTAGGGCAATCAGATCCTTGCCAATGTCTCACCAGATGAATATTCAAGAATAATAAAGGTCCTGGAAGATGCCATTCTGTCGACGGATTTGGCTGTGTATTTTAGGTAAAGTATTATGTGAGACTTGTGATGAGGATAATGGGAGTAAGGTGCATCTAATCCTTTGAAACTGTGGCCTCAGAGAGGTCTGTTGTAGCAGCCTCTTATAATACACGTAAGAGTGATGATAGTTGCATGTACAGCATTGGTGGAGTCATGACTGGGAAGTGAAAAGTGAATTGTCTATCATTTTTTTACCACATGGACATGCCCTGGAGTTTGTAACTGATCATTACTTACCAGCATAATTTTCTAATAATAATACTTGTTACTTAGTACCAGTTGAGGCCACGCCATAGCTCAAGCGGTTAGTCGCTAGCTTCCCACAGTAGCGGCCCGGGTTTGATCCTGGGTCTGGTCAAGTGGGATTTGTGGTGGACAGAGTGGCGCTGGGGTAGGTTTTCTCCGAGTACTTCGGTTTCCCCTGCCAATCTTCATTCCACCAATTGCTCCTCAGTCACCCTCACCTATCATCTGGGGCTGGTACAATAGGCCTGAAGTGGCCGCTTAGCGTTACCTGCCTAGTTTACTACTACATTTACAGGCAGATTATTCAAGAATTGCCAGGCCATTCTGTAGAACCTGCTTGCAAGAGAGAGCCTTGAGCCACAGAGAGGAAGCAGAGAGCAGTGAAACAAATACACATCATTGTGTAATCTCTTATGCAATAGAAAACTAGCCTCTAACCATCAGCCAAATTAGACTGTAGCTGACTCAGTTAGCTCATTGCCAGGGAAAGTATTAGAGTTCAGAAAGTTGAATTCCATTTTTTGCCAATTCAAATTTCAGCATTTCAGATTATTATATGTAACATTCATGTTACATGTCATGTGAGAACAGAGTAAACTGGCAGGAAAACTACTGCATTATGGGTGGCAGTTTGACAGCCCTCATTTTATAACTCGTAGAATTCTGTTGCCCATGATATATTGGTTGATCTGTGAACTGTATTGTATGATACTGATGTATCAGAATTCTTATGATTACAGTTTGTCGAATCGGGAACACATTATATGAAAAAAACTAAACTCCATGGCTTGAGTCTGCAAGCGAACTTGTCTCTGTGGTCTAGTTGTCCTGGCTACAGATACAGAGGTCCCGGGTTCGATTCCCTGCGTTACCAGATTTTCTGAGAAGTAGTGGTTCTGGAATGGGGTCAACTCAGCCTTGTGAGGATAATTGAGGAGCTATTTCAAAGAAATAGCGGTGTAACGAACCGAAATTCACGACCCTGGGGATCCGTTGTGCTCACCACGCGGTACCCTCTATCTGCTAAAGTTGTCACTAACTTCGCTGACAAGCGACAGTTGCTCGGTCGGTATTAACGCATTGTATGTGACATAAAAATGTGAATTGTCAAGTTGACATAACAGCCTACCCATCCACATATATAAGTGATGTTTACCATGTGAGCCAAACTTTAATCTCTTTGACAGATTAATTCGCAGTTGATATTATTTGAGAAGATTTAGTATGTTTGATGGTGGTATTTGCTTGTCTCCAAGGAAGCGAGGTGCCTTCTTCAATCTAGTGCGAACTGCCAGCTACAACTGGATGCGTGATGATCACCGTGAACTCTTGAGAGGAATGACCATGACAGTGTGTGACCTGGCTGCCATTACAAAACCATGGGAAGTTGAGAAGAGGGTAAGTAAATAAGCATAAAACTTCTCTATATGCAGTGATATTTACTGGAGTCTTTCAAATATGGCCGTTTTATTCTTTTAGTGCCAGACTCCAAAGACACAACATATGTAAAATTTGTCATTGATTTGTGAGGGGTTTAATTTAATAGAATTTCTTGTTTTCCATTGTTCACAAATGAAACAGTTAACAGTTCCTGCCACCACCTGCACAGTCTTCTGTCTCTCCCAGCTTGTGGCATTTGTGTGTAACCATATACAGATATTTTGATCTTATCACAATTTGCACTTTATATATTTGCTGTCAGTCTAATTGAGCTTGGCTCTAAAATTATTAATTCTCTTTAAAGTAACTACTGTTGTGGAAATTGTGGAAATCCTGCATGGATTGTAAAGTCTTGACCACTGGACTAATAAGCCAGTATTCATATAGCAGTACTTTTATATTTATAGGTAGCAGAACTAGTATCAAGTGAGTTCTTTGAACAGGGGGACATTGAGCGTCAGGAGTTGAAGATTACACCAATTGTAAGTTCAGTTAGGCAGCGTCTACACGAGCGCACAAAATGCATCCGTTGTAACAAATGCCGTGACGTCTGTTGTAGAAATAAACGAGAAGCAAATGCTATGCTTTATTCTGGCTACATTGCAGACAAAAAAAAAATACACACCGCATTCTGCACCGTCCTCAGCAAAGTACATTTGTTTCAACGGATGCATTTTGTGCGCTTGAGTAGACGCTGCCTTAATGTGTTACTATACACGAAGGTTGTAGAATTTAGGCTTGCTTGCAACTGTACAGGATCATAAATAATGCTAAGGCATCTTTACATTCTTTCACTGATCTTGTATGATATAATGAAATTAGAGAGAGAACTGAATTGTGATCACATATTTAGATGATAAAGAAGAAGTAGATGACATTTTAAATGTTGTTAACCTAACTTAAGTGTAAGTGCAGTAGGTACTTTAAAACCTCAAGCAGTTTCTTACATAAATTCTTACTTTGTGTCACATGTTATACTGCTATGAATTTGGCTTAATTCATATATTTCAGAGGATAAATTGTAGCAGAATAATTGAAGCTTTCTCTGCTAAAAGCCACGCCTCAATGCAGTTATAATGTAAATATCTTTGCAGTTAGTAATCAGTGGTGGTTTCAACTTCATTATAATTTGTACACATAATCGATTGTTGTGTCTCATATATGATATAACCTAGTGTAAGGCAGCATTACTACTGTGAATGTATGTGAACAGGATACATGATTGTTGTATGTCAGAGACAGTATTGTTGTATCTGTTGGTGATTTAAGTGGTTGTAAAAGTACACTTTTGTACTGTATCTGAAAAAGTTTTTGTCTTGAAATATGCATGTCATGCTTATGAAAAAAGGCTACATTGAAATACCATTACAACTAGGCCAACTGTGCTTAATTCCCTGAGAAAATGAGAAGCTTAATTCTGAGGGCAAAAAATGTTAAAGCATGGCAATAGTTAAATAGCAATACTTATTTGTCACTTCATATTTTAATCATATTAGTGTTTGTTCCAATTAGTTATAGGTATGTCTGAAGTATGAAAACAGTGTAATTGTAGTGGACTATAATTTGTATTTGTTATTTCTTTGACAGGATATCATGAACAGAGAAAAAGAAGACCAACTTCCCCTTATGCAAGTAGGATTCATTGACTCCATTTGTCTCCCTATTTATGAGGTACTTAACCTCCTTATATATTTATAGAGTAATGTATAAGACGTAACTACAGATTAATGAAAAAGGTTGAAAGGACTAGATTATGTCCTTCTGCAGTGTGTCACTGCTGTAGATGGGTACCACCATTTCAGAGAAAACTGCTGCCTCTCTCTTTAGTTTGGAAGAGGGCTTCATACAAGGGTTGGATAAGAGGTAGGGGCAACACTGCTGTAACATGAAAGATGTGCATTAGGTGACACTAGCGCTGTCTGTAGCTGATAGCAGAAGTTAAGTTGAAGTAGTGCAGTGAATGGCTCTGGTTTTGTTTCATTGAGTTGCATTGTGCATCGTCTTGAAGTTCAGGAGCCCAGTTCAAGCACCCTAACAACATGTTTACGAAACAAGGACAACACTCCTGGATAAAAATTGAATTTGCACAAGGTCATAGTGCACAAAACTGTTATCAGGGACTGCAAGAAGTATGTGGTGATGCTGCTTTGCCATATCGCACAGTGTTACAATGGGTGAAATTGTTCTGTGAAGGGAGGGATGCCATTCAGGACAGCCGCCGTTCAGGATGACCCCATGTTGACAACCACACAATTCAGCTTCTTGCTTCTTTGCTGGATGTCGATTGCTGATGGGCTGCACGGGAGTTAGCTGCTGAGGTAGGCGTGTGTCACAAAACCGTGGTCCACATTCTGCACGATATTCTTGGATACCGCAAAATTGCAGCACGTTGGGTACCCCATACAATGTCTGAGGTGCAACAATGGCAGCGTTATGCAGTTGCACAGGACTTGTTGGACCGGTACCAGAAGGAAGGTAATGACTTCCTTGGAAGGATCGTCACTCTGGACAATATTTGGACTTGCTCATACGAACTGCACTTGAAGCGACAATCAAATGAATGGAAGCATCCTGGCTCTCTTCATCCAAAGAAAGTGCTCCCTATACAGAGTAATGTGACGGTGATGTTCACTGTGGCATATGACACTGATGGAGTGATACTGCACCACACTATACCTCAACGACAGACAGTAAACGTTGCCTACTGCTGCAATTTCCTGCGTAATCATCTTCGTCCAGCACTCAGGAGAAAGCGACGGCACTTGTTGGCAACAAACCTCGTCATCCTTCATGACAATGCTGTCGCTGTCGAGGATCTCCTTCAACGCTAGCGATGGGAGATACTGCAACATCCACCATACTCACCCAATATGAGTCCGTGGGATTATGATCTCTTTGTCAAAATGAAAGAACCACTGTGAGGGACATGTTACAACACAAGAGAGGAGATTACGCGCACTGTAGGGCGGTCACTGCTGGTCATCAACAGAAGTGGACGTGCTGGTGGTGTACGACACCTTCCACAAATTTGGCAGAAGGTGGTAGGCATGGGGGGGGGGCGATTATATTGAAGGAATGTAAGTGTGTTTACCTCAGGTAATAAAGTAATTTCAGAACTACAGAGGTGTTGCCACTACTTTTTATCCGACCTTTGTACTTCACAGATTTTACATATTATTAGGTTTCACACTAGGATATTTTGTTATTGTGGTTGGGGCACAGTCAAAGGCAAGCACATTCTTGGACTGCTCAGTCAGTCAGATCGTAGGTTCATGTGGCTGGAGCCATGTTTTCTTGCATTTATAGCTATGGATATCAACTTAATTAAAAACATTTACTTCCTTCTTGAATAATAATTTCTTTTGAAGAATGAAATGCTTGTCTTCAAGCATATTTATTAAAATAAATTATGATGTATCATTCAGGTTAATACTGTAGATCTAAAAATGTGATTACGTAGCCATGGTCATTGCAATACGTAACTAGAGAATGAATTACTAGAGAAATGAAAGAGCACCACCAGAACCAGAGCCCAGACACACTGAGACAAATTTTATTTACGCACTGAAATTCTTCCACATGATTAGATGTACAGTTATCTGTGAGTGCTCATTGAACCAGTTCACACTGCAGCTGAAGTATGTAATGATGTCTTCTGTGATCAGTATGTCTGGTTTCTTATTCTAATAATCCACGCGTTCCTGTTTTTGCTGTTTAATTTGTGTGTTCTGGAGTTTTGAAATACAATTTACATTTTTATTCCTCAGTCATTTGCGGTATTGTCTGACAAGCTGGAACCACTTGTGGAAGGTGTGCGGCAGAATAAACAGCACTGGCTTGAAATTGCTGGCTTGCAGAACCACAACAGTAAAATGGAGGATGGAGGCGAGCTATGACTTCCTACCAGCATATCTCTGAAGCATAATAACCTCTTGACAAAAGTGAGGAAAAATTTGTAACTTCTCCCTCATCTTGTACATAAAGGTCAATTGTATAATGTGGGAAAGCTGAAGTTCTACTCCAGATAAATCTATAGTGTTCTCTTGGATCAACGAGTCTTGTCCAAAATGATGACCTGCATGGTGTTAGCCTTGCACACAGTAGCCAGTTGAATGTTTTGGCCAAGTAGCAAAGCCACTTGCAGGCATGTATTCTGACTAAGAAGAGACAACGTAAAAACAGACTCATTGAGAACCTTGTATTACAGTAAGTAACCAAATAAATGCTCCTTTTCTGAAATCGAAGATCTGATTCCTGTAATGAAAAAGAGCACAAAATTGTGAGAGTTTGAGCCAAAAAAGGAAATTTTGCATAAAAGTGGAATGAAGCTCCTTGTTACATTTCAGATGCTAAAGTAGTTGCCTGCAAATATGACATGTCTGCTGGACTGACGCTTTGATAAGTTCAGGCTTGGATGATGGAAGATAGCCATTTATAATCAAAGCGATTGCATTATTTTTGTGAAGTAAACTCCGAAACCAAAGTTAATGGCATTGTGAATAATGGAACTGATTGTATTATTTGTGTGAGTGTTGTGTCACTCTTTGCCCCTCCCTTATCTATATCCTTCACCTCTGTCCTTGTAATTGTTTTGTAAGTAAAGAGAAAATCTTGTTGTATAAATTGTATAAATTATAAAATTATAGTAATATATAATTAGGCAGTGCACCTAAAACATAAATAATAGTTTTACACAGAGGATGAATGTTTCATTATATATTACAAAACCTCCTGCCATTGTATCTGTTCCATTAATTTTTGAGGGTATGCATTATTTCATATTCTTATCCCCTTTCATTCCTCCTCCTGCTGGCTGCTCCACACCTTCATACTGTTATCTTTCTCATTCCTCCTCCATCTTGCTGAGCATGTTAGCTGTGCAAAATTAGTCTGTCTTCTGTTTATTAAATGTGTGATTCTTATGTTGACAGGAGGCTGACTGTTTTTAAGTCTCCTGTGCTTCTGTTAATATGTGCAAGTGAATGTCATGGTTATATGTTGAAACTGATTTTGCTGATGTTTCTTCCCTTCCTTTGACATTTAGATCTGCCTTTGCTTATGGTACAACATGATAAAACTTCCGTGTTCTCAGGCTTTCTTTATTTTTGTGTCCTGTTATGTATTTTTCCATGTATTATATCTTAATGTGTCTTCTTCACATTTTTGAGTTCATCTTACCAACAACCTTACTTTTCAATCCCTCCAAATTCTGCCATTTTATCTGTCTCTGTCTTCAGACCATTACAGAGAAGTTACTCAGGTGATCAACCAAGTGAAAATGGTGTAACTGTTCATCTAACTCCAGTTTCACACAATTGATCATTCAGGAAGACTTCATTGCCTTCATTTGCTGTGAAAGCTTAAAATTTTATTTATAACATTAGTTTTCTTCACTGCATGATCCTATGTTCTTCCTGTTTTAATTGATCTCTTCAAGAAGTCTGTGAATAGTGTGCCTATTCTGTTATCAATCTGTATCTTTTCCATTCATCACAAGTTACTTTCATAAGCAGTAACATATGGCACAACATTGTGTTTTAAATATGTAGGAGTGATGTTGGCCCAGTCAAGAACCTGGTGAGGTGTGCTAAGGATATTACAATCTTTCCCGTATATGGTGCCAATCCAGACTTATACAAGTACAGTTGGCACCAAGCATTCTTCTGTAGGAGCAAAGCCATCTGGAAATAAACGCTAACCACTTGTTTCTCTCTAATGCATAGGTTGGAAATGTATGGAATTTGTGTCCACGAGGTTTTGATAATAATATAACACAGTGTTAAGCACCAATTTGAGGATGGAAGAAGGGAACTCAGACAAGACCTACAGGTACTGATAGAATTAGAGCTAATGTACATCCTCCTCAGTCAGATTTTGATAACTCAACTCCTTGAGCAATGCAGCTATAAAGTTTATTCATTTTCTATATAGCAAAATTTTCCAGAATTGATGCAGGTGTGTCTAGTGTTAAGAACAGTAACCTGAGTGGCATGCACTAGGATTTTAAATGAAGATGTGGTCCTTGTGTTACAGTACCAAGTGATGCTTCTGACATGACTACATTTCTTCTGTTCAGTCCAGGGTTTTAGTGCTGAATGAACATATCTCACAAGAAATCCACCATGTTATTTGTTGGTCATTGCCTGGAAAGAAAAAATCCATCTGGCTCCAAATAGGTTTAAGTGGCAGGTTGCTGTGAACATGGCAATGAATTTTTAGTTGTCATAAAATGGAGGAGAATTTCTTGGCTAGTTGAGCAACTGTCAGCTTCTCAAGAAGGACTCTGCTCAGTGAAATTAATACTGAAACTATGTAATTGGTCTCAGTTCAAAATGATTCACGTTCTACGTCCACATTATAAGTCTAGAGGGTGTTACTGCTGCCAGCAACCACCTTGGTTGTCTTGCTGACTCCAAAATGAACTCCCACTTGTAGTTCAAGGTATGAACTATTCTGTTATTAGTCCTAGTTAAGATGTAAAGATTCTGTGGACATTTTGTGTCTACCATTTGTTGGCTCAGAATCATGGAGGAGGAGGTGTTAAATCTTCTTAGTAACTATGGAATGTGATAGTTTCATATCTGTCCTTCTACCATTCAAATTAAAATCTGCTGTTTTGAGAAACATTCATTCTGGCCTTTAGTTATTTTCTTATATAATTCATAAAAGGAAAGTGTTCAGTCCTCTGTGTGATCAGTCAATCCACATTTAGTTATGGAACTGGCAGTTATATGCGCATCTGCATAGTGACTTTGTTCTTGTTAGGTGTTGATAAGAAATATCAACAGTCGTGTGGCAGGAAGCATTTCATCCCTTATTGTCTATTGAATATGATTCCAATTATGTCCTATCATTTAACTGGTGCCAAGTGGGGGGGTGTTTTAGTGATGGTGTAATTGGGGTGACTACTGAAGATTATGTACTTGCAGCAGATTATTCCTGGGGAACCCACACAAAAGTGTGATTAGCAAACTGGAGTAAATCAGAAATTGGTGCATGTCTATGCAAGATGTACACTGGAGTTCGTAATTGTCCTAACCTTAAAATATGAAAATAAAACAATAGATACTCAGTTATAACTGTGTAAAAATATCAAGGTGAAACAGAATTATGCAGCTGGAGTTAGGGTCATAGGATCTGTGGTGCTGACTGGTGTTTATGCAGAGCTCTGTCATCTGGGATATATCGATGTGTAGTCTGGCTGTATCTCAGAAGATATGAACCCATTCAGTCAGAATCATATCCAAATTTCATTTTGGAGTTTGGGAGAACGTGGTCAAGGGGACGGGCTGTGGTTTATAAAGTGAATTTATAAGAGCTGAAATTGTAATCATCTGGTACTATATATAAGGTAAGTATGATTCTGATTAAATTTTTATATTTTTTATTTGCCATCTATTCAGTTCAAAATTATATTACACACAAATAGTTTTTGTGTGCCATTGAATTGAATTGAATTTATTTACATTCTATAAATCCTAAGCANGCAAATAGTTTTTGTGTACCATTTAATGGTACCCTCTGTATCTTATGTTGCCTCAAATGGTTGGGTGGTCGAAGAATGGATTGGGAAGGATTTGGAAGAAAATTATGTTTGCCTAATTGAGATGTTGCAGCATTTGCTTGGAGGGGCAGTATATCTGCCATCACCTCTGTCAGGACGGTGTCCCTACCAAGATTCCAACTGAGAACGTGCCAGATTCAGATCCTAAAACATTACAACTAGACAATCCTCGTCCAAGACAACGTGTCTGTGAAGAATTAAACCCCCGTGTGCAGTCCTCACCTTGGGATCATTGTGCTAAAGCATGAAGGGTTATCCCTGGACAAGTTAAACACCATGTCTTCCCTTCCTCCACACTTGTTTGTGATGACCTGTCCATCTGAGTCTGACAGCCTCACTCCAAGGCAAGAATGACTTAATCAAACATGCTTGAGTGGTTAACACTCCTGCTTTCTATTCGAAATATACCAGGTTCGAATCTCCGCTTTAAGACTGATTAGGTTCGGTGAGGTTATCATCATTTGTAAAAGTAAAAAAAGAAAGTAAAGGTATCTCTGTAACAGGCCGTGGAGGCCCATAAGGTTGTGAGATGTTGAGGCTCCCACATTTTCCAGACAATCTGCTCGTAGATGGCGGTAAGGTTGTCAGCCTTACGCGCCGGCCGCCCTTTACTCCCAGGAATATTCCTGGTAGCCATTTCTGTTAGAGGCCGAGTCGACCTCAGGGCCATAGTGCAACTTGAAGGATTAGGTCAATTGAAAAAATTCCACCTCGTCGGCATTCGATCCCGCGACCTTCCGGCTTTAGCATAGTGCCTCAACCAACTATGTCTCCGCGTTATAACAATCCCATATATAAAATGCGTAGATATTGCCTTCAGTTAGCTAATGGCTGTATTTTTCCATATTATGTACCAGTTCATTATTTTAGTTACATTATCCTACCATTCGATGCTACATAAACTGTGTGGTCGAAGAACGCGTCGTTAAATTGCTCTGTCGCTGTTGTGCGTTTTGTTCAAGTTCCATAAGGGCAACAATATGGTTTTTATTTTATTGCCGCAATGGGTGTTGGCACGCAAAGTATCGTGTTTAAGGGAAATTCTGTAAGCACACTGAGAATTCAGCCTCGGGTTCAGATAAGCCCGCCTCCTCAAACACACCTTCTCAATTACGTTTTAAAAGATCAATTAGAGACTACTACTATTCACAGCGGAGAAAGGGAGGATCGACTTTACTGCGCTTGCGCATAAACTTGGGCACTTTTTTACCTTTGAGACCTAATAGGTTGGTATAGCATTTACTTGTATTCGGTAATTATTGGGTTTGAATCTCGGCCAAGCTACTGGATATTACGGCAGTGTTTTGTTACATTTCGTAAGAAATTTACTTTCTGCGGTGAGGAGTTGTTGGCCCCACGCCGAACTCTCGAACTGGAGGAGGATAATATTAAGATGGATCTTAGATAGGATGGAATGGTATGGACTGGATTGATCTGACTCGGGATAGGGGCCAGTGGAGGGCTCTTGTAAATACGGCAATGAACCTTCGGGTTCTATAAAATTATAGGAAATTCTTGAGTGGCTGAGCGACTGGCGGCTTCTCAGTAAGCACTCAGCTACATGGAGTTAGTTATTTTCACAGCTTCGCTCAGGGTACTTTAAAATAAATGGATCTGCTCTCCTTCCAAACTTTCAGTTGCCACCAGCTGTCATCGCCCTTCAGAGACTGCAAATACATGTGAAGAAAGTAAAAAGTAAAGCTATCCCTGTAACAGGCCGTGAAGGCCCATAGGGTGGTGAGAAATTGAGGGTCCCACATTATCTAGACATTCGGCTCAACGATGGCGGTAAGGTTATCAGCCTTACTCGCCGACCGCGCTTTACTCCCCAGGAAAATTATTTAATTAATTCCTGGTACTCATTTCTGTTAGAGGGTGAGTCAACCCCAGGGCCATAGTGCGGCTGGAAGGATTAGGTCAATTGAAAAAAATCCAATGACCTCATCGAGACTTGAACCCGCGACCTTCCGGCTTGTAGCATAGTGCCTCAACCAACTACGCTACAGCGTGTGTGAGATAAATTAACCTCAGCGATACAATAAAAATTATGAATGTTTACTAAATCCTAAAAAAATGAAGTAATTTGTATAATTTTGCAAATTGTTGTTCTATATCTACCGCTATGTTGCTTCTTT